GAGGGCCTAAAAATAGCCCAGGGCCTAAGAATAGCCCTCCGTTTCAGGCTGGAAAAACTCTGGGTCTGAAAGACCCAGAAATAGGCTGAAACGAAGTAGGGCCTGCAGGCCCTCGTTTTTCAGTTTTCATGCTGAAACGACCGGGGCCTGTAGCTCCTAAGTTTTAGGCTTTAAGGCTGAATGTCCGGGACGGGTCCTACAGGGCCCGTGTGGCTACGCAGTCTGCCACACCCCCCCCTCCTTGAAAGACCGAGCTTACCTGCGAGGAAGATGCTGTCTGTCTGAGGGAGGGACCACAGTCCGGGTGGGAGGGGCAGGTCGTGGAGGTCCCTTGGCTAACCTTTGACGTTCATAGTGAGCGTAGATCAGCGGTGCGGATGCTTTCAAATCTGCTCCTGAAATCCACCGAGTGCCGTCGCGATCGCATGCTTTGAATGTGACTTTGTACTGCCGCGGCTTGCTGCCCTACTTGCGATCGGTGATGACGCGGTCAACTTCCTGACGGCCATCCATAGAAGGAGGGTCCTGCGATCGTCGGCCCGGAAAGTCGTCGCTCTTGGCTGGCGTGTATGTTGCCAGCTTCGAGGCGTGGAAGACCGGATGGACCGTCAGATGCTCTGGAATGTTGATCACAAATGAAGGGCCATCGGGCTCATCGCCCCCGGCTGCTGTCACAGACCAAGGTCCAAAYCACTTGGGAAGCAGTTTGCGTGAAACGTCCTGTTCCAGTGCAAACTCTTCCGCGGAGACCCAAACCAGATCACCGGCGCGGATGGGACATGGTACGCGACSCCTGYTGGCTTGCTGCTGCATGCGAACTTGAGCCTTTTGCATATTTGCGCGGGCTTGAGTCAGCAAGTCCCTGTACTTCCGAACGGAAGCGGGGGAGCAAGCAGCGTCAATGTCGGCTGGTCGAGGGAGGAGAAGGTCGGCGAAGATGCGGCCTTTCCGTCCACCGTGGTGCAACTTGAATGGAGTCACGCCGATCTCCGGGTGCACCGAAGTGTTGTAGGCAAACTCGATGTCGGGGAGGCGGTCAACCCAATCTTTCTGGTCCGGACGAATGAGCGTACGAAGCATCATTTGAGCGGTTTGATGTGCCCGCTCCGTCTGCCCGTCTGTCTGAGGATGTCGAGCCGAACTTGGTTTCATTGTTGTGTCGGACTCCTGCATGAGAGCAGTCCAAAACGCCGACATTAAACGAGTGTCGCGGTCGCTGACGATGTCTTCTGGTACACCGTGGCCACAAATCCAACCAATGTGCAAGAGGCGTGCCAGCTCGGGAGCCGTGGAGTAGTACTTGCAAGGGAGAAAACGCGCGTACTTACTCAATCGGTCCACAACCGTGAGGATGCCGTCGTGCCCGAGCCGGTCGCGAGGAAACGGACCGGTGACGTCCATGGCAATGGAGAGACCGGGTTCCCATGGGATAGGCATCAGGTGTAACTCGCCGTAGGGATTGCGGTTGCGGGGCTTGCTGCGTCTGCAAACTTCGCAAGAGTCGCAATACCGAGTGACATCGGTAATGAGGTCGGGCCATCGGAATCGTTGTCGAAGCCGTGCAATAGTGCAGTTGACTCCGAAATGGCCGGCGAGTCGTGAATCATGRTACTCGCCRAGGAGGCGAGTMCGAAGACRACGGTCGCGTGGGACACATAGTAAGTCCTTGCCTCTCGAGTGGAGGAGCAAGTACCCGTCGGCAATGCGGTAATGGCTGGYCGGCGGGTGATCCGAAGATAGCTGTGCATAGAGCGTGCCGAAGTCCGGATCAGACTGATGTGCCCGGATGAAGTGTCCCTGAAGCTCCTCGTCGAATGCGAAGGCATGATGTGTCATAGCGCAAAGATCGGGTCTTCGCGAGAGTGCATCTGCTGCGCGATTTGAGAGGCCGGGCAGATTTTTCGGTGTGAAGTAAAATTGGTCGATGAAGTACATCCATCGTCCGATCGTGCTGCTCACC